TTTTAGTAATGAGTTTATATGCCTGGATTCATTAACCAAAAACACTGTAGACTTTCCCAGGGCAATAAATATAGAACTCAGATAAGCTATTAAAAAAGGAGAAACATTTAAAAGTAAAAATATTTTGTAGATAATTGTTAATTCTGTTTTCATCAATCATAAATCAAACCATTTAATATAGATTTTCAGTTTTCAAAATTAAACTTTAGTCTAATAAATGGAACTTATTTTGTTTTATGACAGTATAAGAAAAATAATGGGTGTTTTCCAGTTCACAGCCACAACGCTAACAAACCTGCCCACTCATGCGGGCCAGTCTTTGAGTGACTCTTCCATGTTACTGACACAATGATTCATTTTTACAGGTCTATTCAAGTGCTTTCAAAGATATATATACACACACACACATACACACATATATATGCACACATATGTATATAATATATATGGTATATATATTTCTTGTTTATTCAATTTCTATGACTTAAAATTGTACAATGAAATGCTACAAGAAAAGTTCAAGGTTATAAACAGTCTAACTTAAAAAAGAATTGAGCTAAAATAGCAGTGAATTTTGTTTTCAGATAAAGGCTATTATTTAGAGATACTAATCTCTCTCCAACCAATGAGATCTGTGATTCCATATTAACACCTACATTGATGCAAAACAACTTATTAGTGAGTTCTTCAACAAAGAACAGGCAAATTACTACTAAAGATGCTGGATTATTTGGGAAATATTTTTAAAAAGCAATAGCTTTGTTTCTACATTTTTTTAGTGAAAAAGAATCATCAACATCTGCTACACTAGTTAAGGTTAATTTTATCCCTAAAACTCTAGAGTTTCTCCACTCTTTTTTCTTTCTTTCTTTTTTTTTTCAATGTAAAAGAAAAGCAACATGGATTAATCTCGTATCCAGAGTTGTTATCTATTAATTCCTTTTCTTCTACCTCTTGAAAACCTATCCACTCTACAAAGACAGATTCAAAATCTTCCTTGTTTGACATTTCATTTCTGTAAAGGTCCTACCCTTCACAGAAATCTCTAGTATTTAAATATAACATTTGGATATGAGAACTTCCATATATGGCATTGTTACATTTATGCTAATCATGATGACCTGGACTCATTGTAAGTTTCTTAAATTCATATCTTATTGTCCTTTTAAGCTTCTACTTTCTTCACCAAGGAGTACCATACTACAAATACTGGTTTATAAATGAACATGTACTCATCTTACTCTGGGGTCTGCTTTCTTTCCCTATACCCACAGGCAGAGTGGCTACTAAAGGCAGTGATCCCTTTTTATATTGCTCATGTTGAAAAACAGAATAAACACTCCAAATAAACTTTTGAGCTCACTGAGGCCATACACTACAGCAATTCATCTTAGTAACAGTAAAAGATGGCATAGTACTCGAAACATGGTAAGTGCTGAATAAATATACTGAATTACATTGAAGCTTTTTCATTATTGCATAGAAGATGAAATAACTCAGATGATTCTGAAAACTCAAGTTATTTCAAGTTTTGTTTAATTACAAGGGCAGAATTCTGTCTTCTTCCAAGATACATCCAATTATAAATGATTAAATAAATATAACTAAAACCCTAATCACAAAAGACACTTATAATAACAACTTTTCTTACCAGATCGACTTGATTTTGTTACTAATTATTGGTGTTTCAAGCAGCTTCTACTAAATTCAAATCTACTTTGTTATCTGAATTCAAATGACTGAAGTCCAGAAATATATAAAGAAATGCAACTTTGAAATAACTTCAAACAAATATCCCATATTATTGACAGTTTATGCAAAGATAAAGGACAGAATATTTTCAAATTGCATTTTCACTGCAATGAAAAACAACAAAAAAAGAAACAAATATCATATGATGACTGACATAGTAATCCAGTCATAGTCACTTTGTAACTTTTAATTTCCATTCCAAGTTAATAAAAAGTTAGCATAGATTCCTGTCAAAATATATAATGGTCTAGAAGCATAGCATTGACTGTAAAGTAATTAAATTTTCTTTTAATTTTTTTTTAGTGGTAGATGGACACATACTTTTATTTGTTTATTTTTATGTGGTGCCAGGGATCAAACCTAGTGCCTCACACATGCTAAGCAAGTACTCTACCACTGAACCACAACCCCAGCCCCAAGTAATTTAAAATTCTAAATATAATAGTTTAGAGCATTTCTCTCTAA